TGGTGGGAGGAACAAGCCATAACAGCTGTTGCCTGAAGAATTGGGACTATTCCCTTTCTCTTCTTTCTCTTGTAGTACATTGGCCAAAACTGGCCAAGGTCATTCCCGAGGACAAGATTGCCTGATTCTCAAGTGCTTGTGTTTAAAAACACTGAAGAAAATGAACTCACGTGCTCAGGGTGGGGGGAAGTGCAGACTGATGGGAGCTTTATGTATAACGTGCACAACCCCCAGTGCTTGCCTAGTGTTCTGCATCTCCCACGTGCTGTGCAAACATTGTTAGTGAGCCCTATCACCACATACATGGAGGTTACATCAGTTTAACTCAGTGGATGTGAATACAACTGACTCCTGACTTGCACCAGCATAACTGAAAGCAAAATCAGGCCCTGCGAATATTCAAAGCATGGACCATACCCCATGAAAGGACAACTCAGGACCAGCTAGGATCCTTCCTTTCCTCATTCTTTACCCCCAACCCTGCTTCCTAGCACATGCCCATCTTTTGATTCTGAAACAAGCCACATAGATGATCATTGTTATGCAACCAGTAGTAATGAGACAGAGAAGATCACCGAGGTCACCTCACATTAATGGATGGTTGTTTCCTATTGGGAGGGCTGTGCTGTGTCCTGTGAATGCTACGTGGCAGCTGTAGGAGAATCCATCTTATCTGGGCATAAGGGCTCTCAATGAGAAAACCTGAAGGACATCTGATATGGTAGTGTTGATTACTAGGAGAAATGAGGCTCCACTTGACCTTGGGTGCATTGACTCTCATTCAGAGAATGTTCCTCCACCTGCAGAAGCCACTTTTCTTGTTGCTAGAGGCCTCTTACACCAATCTGGGAGGTCGTGCCGACAGGCAACACTCATCTCATCTCATTGAAGAAAAATAAAACCCCATGCTACTTCATAATTACCTCCTAGTTTCAGAACTCTTTAACAACTGGGCAGGAAAGCTGTGAAAGGATTTTTTTCCTTACAGACTCATAGGGAAATAGGGTGGAAGAGACCTTGAGAGGTCACCTAGCCCAATTCCCTGTACACAGTGGATTGTCTCTGTCATCCATGGTATCCATGGTAAACCAGTGGGGGCCAACCTTTTTTGGCAGGCATTGCACAAATTAGCCCCACAACCTAAGTTCCACTGTGATCTCCTTCCCTTGCCCAATCTGCTTCTCTGCTTTCTGCTCCCAACTCTGTGCTCCCTGCCCAATGTCCTGCTGTGCTTTCTGCTTCCTGCCCTATCAGCTGCTGTGCTGCCTATCCTCCCCTCCCCTCTGATCTACCATGTATGCCACACAGAAGCTGCCTGTGCCACTTGTGGCACTCATGCTGTAGGATGGCTGCCCCTGCTCTAATAAAGAAACTGGAAATGCTGGGGACTGAACCTGGACCTCATATATGCACAGCATAACAAGCTACGGAAACACAGACTAGACAGAAGTACTATAAGGTGGATACATAACTGGTTGGATCATCGTGCTCAATGAGTAGTCCTCAATGGCTCAATGTCTAGTTGGGAGGAGGTATCAAGTGGGGTTCCCCAGGGGTCTGTCCTAGGTCCAGTACTGTTTAACATCTTCATTAATGATTTAGATGATGGGATAGAGTGCACACTTAGCAAACTTGTGGATGACACCAAGTTGGGTGGAGGTGCAGACACTCTGGAGGGCAGGGGTAGGATCCAGAATTACCTGGAGAGACTGGAAAAATTGTCCGCAATCAACCAGATACACTGGGGACGGAATAAATGCATGCACAAATATGACTGGGGAACAACTGGCTAGGCTGCAATACTATGGAAAAAGACCTGGGGATTACAGTTGACCATAAACTGAATATGAGCCAACAATATGCTCCCGCTGCAAAAAAGACAACAGCATACTGGATTAACGTAAGTGTCTCTTGCAAATCAAGGGAAGTGATTCTTCCATTTTATTCAGCACTGGTTCTTATGTGGTGAGGCCTCACTTGGAGTGCTGTACCCAGTATTGAGCTCCACACTTTAAGAATGTGGAAAGAGTCCAGCAGAGAGTGACAAAAATTATTCGAGGCCTGGGAAGCATGATTTACGAGGACAGGCTGAAGGAACTAGGGCTATTTCATCTGGAGAGGAGAAGACTGAGGAGAGTTTGACAACAGTCTTCAAATACCTGAAGGGTGATTACAGACAGGATGGAGATAGATTGTTTTCTGTGGCAGTAGGGGACAGGAGTAGGAGCAATGGCCTCAAGTTGCAGCAGAGGAAATGCAGGTTGGCCATCAGGAAGAACTTCCTGCCTACGAGAGTGGTCAAGCATTGGAACAGTCTACCTAGAGAAATTAAAAAATCTTCATCCCTGGGCATTTTCAAGTGCAGATTAGAAAACTGGGATGATTTAACTAGGGATGATTTTGCCTTGAGCGGAGGACTAGATTAGATGACCTTGCAAGGTCCCCTTGTTTCCTATAGTCCTCTACCACGGAGCTACATCCCTAAGTAAAAAAAAGATATTTCTTGCTCAACATGGAGCTCCAACTCATAACCCTGTGATAAGTGTTGGTCAGGTACTAGCCTGCAGCTGGCAGGAAAAGCCTCAGAGGTTTCACAGATAAGAGTCTGCATAGATCCTGAATAAGCATGTGATTGAAATGTAACATTCTGTATGACTGGTGCATGACTGTGTGTCTGCGTATGAGGGGGAGGGACAAAGAACACAGGAGGAACAAAGGAAAAAAGTAGAGTTGGGGGGAGGGAGGAAATATTTATAGATTTTTAATAGCTTTACTGTTTTTGATATTTCCAGTGCATGACAAGTACAGTCATTGTACAGAGCTCAGGCATTCTGCAGCCACCATCCCTGACCCATGAGAAAATTATCTCCCCCTGTATATTGGGGCCAATGTTAGATTTAAATTCTGATATATGGTAATAAACTCCACAGGGCTAGATGGGAAAGCTGGCTGTGAGCTTGTATTTTATTCTGCTTTGTTTGCACTTCTGAAATGATGATCACAGCTGCTGCTATCTTAGGAACCACTAGACCTAGAAAGCAAAGCTTTATATCACTTGAACCCTTAGAATCCCAGCTTCTCAGCCACTTTGCCAGCTCTGCATAGATTCTACCCTCTGAGCGTGCTCCTGAAAGTGTCTTGTGGGACTTTGTAGCATACGCTTGTGTTATAAAAAAGAGGGGCTTCCCCCCATACTGCTGGCCCTGCAAAAGCAATCCAAGATACAAGCTACCGCTGTGCCTTGCCATTGTGTGCATTCTTACCTGTAATAAGGTTTCTGCCAGCCAAATTAAGTCCTCACTGACACCTGTGTAACTGCACTTACTTCAGCTTATTTTCCTAGGAACACCAGTGCCCTCCCATGTATTGCAACGGGCTGTGCCAGTGGAATTCAGCAAAGAATTCTGCTGCTGGCCTGCCAGGTGGAAGGGCACCACCGCTCTCAGGGGTACTGACTGCAGCACAAACAGGAGAGAAACGAAAGGAAAACTCCTTTTTGTCCCCAGAGTGAGGTGATCTGACTTTGAACACAGAAGATCCAGATGTGTTGCCTAAGAGAGGCCACATTTATCTAGCCGTATTTTAGAGTAAAACCCTGCACTAAGGTTTACATGTGTGAGGATGTCTTTCTTCTCAGAAGTGTTTCAGCTCGGAATCTGCCTCCCTCCCCTGGCAGGCATTGGATCCAATACTAAGCATACTTACAAAAGTTTTACATTTCAGTGGAGCTACTCATTTTACCCCAGCACAAAGTGAAATCAGGGTCTGGCCTACTGAATCCAGTGCTTTAATTCTAAGACATATGAGAAAATTGTAGACTCGGCGTGTTATACCAGTAATCACTCTACAGACAGCACTGCACATTTGCATAGTGCTCTACGTAACACCCAGTGTGTGATAGCTGCATTCTGCCCAGGCAAGAGAAACACTTAGGTGAATTTGCCTAAAAGACATGTTGGACCAGTAATATTTTAGCAGCACAAATATGAAGGGAGAAAGATTGTCAAACCTGGTGTCATATCAGTACTAATGGAGAGAGGAGACTTTAAAGCAGTAGAGAGAGTTTGTATAACAGGAGAAATGTTATCAGGGAACTTTTTATTGTACAGGCCATAGCTAGCTGGCAGCCAGGGGTGGGAGGAAGGTCTAAGGAAAGGGAAAAGAAAGGAAAAAAGAATAAACATGGTTCAAATTAAAAATGTAGTCCCTTTGCCAGGTGGACTTGTAGAGCCAACTGCTGAAATGGGGGTTTGTATCTTGCAGCATAAGAATGCTTTAATTTCCGTGAAGCTGCATGGATGCACTGATAGGTAAAACAATGCCTTTACAGTGCTTCTTTTTTAAACTGTTCTGAGAGACTTCTGGGCTAAGTACAGACAGTCAAAAAACCTGAGGCTGAATTGATTCAACCTAGAGATTCTTCCCTTCCGGGTTTACAACCCCTTGCCTTAGCTGCTACGAGTTTCAGGGATAGCCCAGGGAGAGAAGGGAAATTCCTCTGTTCCCCTGCATTAGTTTTGCCTCAGACTTGTAGCAGCTATGGCAAAACCGGCGGTGGAGAAACAGTGCTGTAGCAAGCAGGAGGCAAGCAGGGCGACCACCCTGGGTGCTGAAGCAAAAGGGTGCCAACAGGTGCTGCCCAGCTGGGGTGGGGCATGGGATGGAGCCATGAGGGGCTTGTGGGGGTGGGGGGGCAAGGGGGTGCCCCCGTATCTATGGCAGGGGAAGAGTGGGCTGCCACTGAAAGCTTTGCCCTGGGCACCAAACTTCCTTGCCATGGTACTGTGGAGAAGCAGGAGAATATCCCTCTGCTCCTTGAAGCTGCCTGAGACTCGCAGCAGCTGAGGCAAGCAGCAATGTGTTTTGGGAGGGGAAGACTTCCCCTCAGCTCCCTGGGGCTGAGGGACCCTGGGCTGGGGGGGAGGAAGCCGCCCAAGGCAGGGGCTCCCCGGTGCCCCTATGCTGGGCTTCATGGGCAGGCACCTATCCTGAAGGTCTTTTTCTCCTTCTCTCCTGTGGCAGGCACTGAAGCAATCAGCATCGGGGAAGGGGGGGGGGGCCCCCACTACAGGGGCTTTCCCTCTCCCCAGTGCTCTGTAAACCCTGGCTAGGGGCTTCCCCCCCCTGCCAGGTCCCTATGGGCTGATGGACACAGGCAGGAAGCAGGGTAAGGAGCAGAGGGGCAAAGCAGTCTGTGCTCCACTGGAGCAGGCAGCATAGCTCAGGACTGCAAAGCATCCTGGGATATGGGGGGACTGTGAATGAAGTTGAACCAGGAAGGGGTCTGGGACAAAAGTTCCATAAACTGGTTTGACCCAAATCAGTTACGTCTGATACTGCATTCAACCAGGTTTATCTTAAACCAGCTTTGGCCATTTTGAAAGCAGTTTCTGTGCACTGAACTTCTGTTCTGTTACAGGTTTAAACCAGTTTCTGATCACTTAAACTGGTTTATGTGTAACTTCTGTCCCTAGCCTTGGTGGGCTTGACAGGCTGAGCTGGTTCTCACACTCCAAGTGAACCATCTATGTTCCCACAGTCCTGTCTACATTCTTTGTGCAATGGGCAGGAAGTTTTTATTTATATGTCAAACACCTTCTACCGAAGCTGCACTGACACCAAAAAATAACACAAAACGGTAGCCTGCACTCCCAGTACTGTCCAGTGAACACACCTGTGTTGTTTTTAAGAACCATTAACCCCTGTGTGCTACAAGGGCTGGAGAGTTTACGTTGCAGCTCCCAGAGATCTGCATAGCAAGGTATTTGACCCATCCTAGCCATGGGGACATTGGGATAGGGGAGATTTTCCCTGAACACAGGGTCCCTGTGCATTAAGATCTTTAAAAACTGTGTGCAGCCAGTCTGCACATGCAGTTTCTGACATCCCTGGAGCATTGGGACCCCAGGATTGAGAAACCTCCCATATCCCAGGGCCCTGGGACCTTAAAAAAACTGCACATGTAGCTGAGCTGCACACAAGGTTTTCTGCCATCCCAGTGCACAGGGGCTGGCCTCAGTGCAGTTCTGGGGTTGGGACCTGAAATCAGCTAACAGTTAATCCCTGACCCTGGGACTATACTGAAGTCTCCAACCAGTTCCAGTGCAGTCCTGAGGACTGGGATCAACAATCAGCTGATTATGGGTCCCAAGCTCCAAGACCATACTAGTTCATACCAGACTGCAGGCACACGTCTTTCAACTTGCTGGTGCAGGGGGAGCCTAGGATTATGATCCCAGACTCCACCTGCACTGGTAAGTAATAACAGTGCAGTTGGTATCCGATTCTTGATCCCAAATTGCACATCCTGCCATTCACATGTGGCATGACAGGAGGCACAATTGCTGGGATTGGGGATCAGATCCCATTGTGCCATTACATGAACATTGGCCAGGGGTTCGAAGTGCCTACTCTTACAAGCTCTGCAGGTTCAGTTAGAGTTGCTGGCAATACCTACACCTCTACTGTGTCATGCCAGTGGGATCCAGTGAATAACACCTACTTAGGCTGTTAACCTCCTTTCTTGAGCCTTCACAATACTGGGTCCCATGCAATGTTTTGCCAATTCCAAAGAGAAATCAAAGGTACCCAACTGGTAGATAAGGACAGTGCTCTGTTCTGCAGTTTGCTCTCCAGCTTGTTCTGGTTTTCACTTTAAGATGAAGTACAAACCTTTTTGCCAGTAATTTATTCATTTCTTCCATTAGTCCTCCTCCGCCTCCACCACTACTTGTTCGATTGGCATCACTCTTAGAGGCCCCACAGGGACTGGAGCCTCCTGAACCATCTTCTGGCTTAAGACACAAATCAACATTGCAAATCACAGAAAGGAATTTATATTGGGAACCTGCCTTTTGTGACAAGCTTAAATCATCACTAGGTGCCAAGGATCATAACTGCAGCCTGAGGGCAGAGGCAGGAAAGCACAACCACATCAGAAAGAAGCCACATGCAAAAGTGGTCAAAACCAATGCCTAATCCATATTTAGGATTGAGAAACCCGCTGTGGATTGGGTAAATATATGGGCAAGCCACAAACACAGCCACAGTGATTTTTGTTCGTTCCTGGTCAGATTCTGAGCACTTATTCACCCAAAGGCTGAACAATCCAGCAATCATAGTATAATTTAAACTATTTATAATCATTATGATGGTATAATACAAGTACACGTTCTCTGGCACACTTTGTAGAAGCAATGAAGTCTGTAATATGAGAGCTCAGGGCAGCCATCTGCTAATTAATCTTTACTGAGCATTGGGGGCAAAGGGTAAATTACAGTCAGAGCAAAACTCAGGGGGAAAAAAGGAAATTCCTTCATGACATTGATGAAACCAGAAAAAGAAACATACTCTTATGGCGGTGAGACTGGTAAAATGATCATTATAAAGACCTGAGTTTTAAATATGTTATGTATCCTTCCACTTGTGTTTGTATTCATGTTCAACTCAGGGACATGTGGGTACAAACTGCCATAAAAAAACACTCTCCTGTACATGTAACTGGGTAGTACTTAAAAACAGAAGGTGAAGGTTTACTGAGATCAACATAATCTTGACCTGGATTATACAACTGTACAAGAACAAATCTGAACCAGGCAACTGATTTTTCATGGCCATGGAATGCACATGTAAAGCACATTTCACAGGGTTTGGTAATGCTTTCTGAATATACATGTAGGAAATCAGCAGAACATCAGCTCAGACAAGACCAAGCAAGTCTTACTCTGCAGTGAAGACAGGCCTACTGAGAACATCTTATGCCCTGGTCCTTACCCGCTGTACTCTCCGTAATTTGGCACTAGCCAGAGCTGCTGCGAATCCCGACGTTGACCCGTCATCACTGCCAGCACCTTGTGCTCCACCTGCTGGCAGTGGAGGTGGGGGAGGCGGGGCAGCCCCCATTGGTGGAGGAGGTACTGGCGGGGGTGGCGGAGGCGGCGGTCCACTGGATGATGCAGGGATTGCAGCAGCAGCACTAGGATGACCAGGTGGAAGGATGGGGCCTGAAACAGAGGAAATCAATGAGAAATAAAGAACAGTGCCTCCTGGTTCACACATTATCAGGTTCTCTTTTCGCTGGCAGTCAGGTGAATGAAGGCCTGATGGGCAATCAGTGCAAGGGTGACCATGCCATCAGATGAATGATACATGGGGAAAGCACCAATGGTTCAAAATCTGCATTAGTTGTCATATAAACTTGTGCCCTCATGTGGAAATCTGTAAGTGATACCCTCCTCTTCTCCCTCTTTTCCTGTGCACAAGTCACAACACAGCATGCATGTGCTAATTCACAGGCAGCTGCTTTCTTCTATTTCTTTATTGTAACTTCCCATCTGCAGATAAATAAGGAGCAACACCTAAATTTGAACACCAACATTCATCTCCATGAACTTTCAAGCTGTAGCTATGTATGTATCATGCTTACTTTCCTGAAATATTGGTGGCTAAATTTAATGTCTCTGAAAATTAAAGGGCAAATATTGAACTTTAGCTACAGCACTGGTGAAGAGATGCAACTGAAAGCAGCAATGTTCAACTGATTGATTTGGTATGGTTACATGTCTTTATTTGTAATGTGTGGGAGTATATCATCAGGGTAGTTATCTACCATTACTCTATCTCGTCAAAGGCTTCAGTTGATAGTTTATTTTAAAGTAACCTGTGTAATGTATATTATTTTGAAGGTGGATTTTACTGGTATAAAGGTAAGCTTTGAAGTGATATTTTGACAGTAAGGGCCTGACTTTTCTATCATCCATCACTGTGGTGGGAGGTAACATCTTAACATTGCAGCAGCAAAAATACTGCAGCAACTAATTAAACTCACAATTCTGCCTTTGTAATGAGCTCTGGGTGCCATGAGAAACACTTTAAATGTCTTGCTACCAACGTGGGCTCACAAGTACGAAATGGCAATTCACTGATGACACAGTTAACTATAGTTGCAAACCTTCACCCACAAAACCAGAGTCCACACTGAGACCTCACTGAAAAATGATTTAATGATATCAACTGAATGAAGTAAAAAATAATGGGGCAACCTATGCAGCTGGAATGAATTAAAATCACTTTATTGCAGTGAATGTATCTGCAAAGATTAATTAATAGCAGCTGCAGGTCCAAGTCTTTAGCAGAAAATATGTCAATGAAAGATACATGCCAGTGCTTTCTAACTTCTCTAGACATATCAATTAATGCACAATAACATTATTAATAACAATGGATCCAATTTGCAAAAAAAGTCTGATCTGGATTTCAAATAAGCCCAATTCAGGGCTGTTCTGATGCAGGTTATCAGTGTGGTGAATTTTAAAAATAGAGTCAATATGCAAAATACAGATCCAGACTCAAGGGGCCTCTAAGCTAAAAAACATTAGCCAGCCTAAACATTTTTGTGAACCCTGATAGTTTAGATGAAGTTTCTACCAACAAAGTGTTTATGCAGCTTATGTAACTCCTCAAGCAAAATATACTATAGTGGCAAAAAGGACTTCCTTCTGTAACTATCTACATTAGGGCTTTTGCTGGTATAGAAATCTTGGTAACAAGTCACCCCCCCTGCCCCCCCCACCTCTAACAGACATTACCACAGCAACAAATGTTTCTGATATAGAGCCTTAGATTTCAAACCATGCTAAGTTTGAAGCATTCACTTGGGTTCTGTATCAAGACTATTACCAATTACATGGAAGCCCACCAGTGAACATGCTGTAGGGCCCCCTCTGTGAAAATACGGAAGTATGAGAGTTTATTAAGCAGCTACAGAGCCTTGTTTCTTTAGCTCATGCTTTTATCTCTGGAGGTCCCAATTCATTCCCCCCCAAGTTGGCCAAGAGGTAGTTGTTACACTAAAACTAAACAAGTGTGGGCTTTTTCATATTTCTCTGAACTAATATGTGCAGTAGGATTAGTCTCGGATTGCTCAAAAATTTTCCCAATTTCTTGTTCAGGACAGGGCAAATGGCTTTATAAACAATCAGTTCAAAGCTAAAGCTCTTTTAAAGGTTATAACTCATTCAAAACAAGTACTTACTCAACTGGGAAATGGTTGATGAACTCATGTAAGGAGGGGTCCTCTTGGACATATTCACCTCAGACACAGCAGCGTAAGTGGGAGGTAACGAGACAAAGTGTGACATGGACTGGTATAATTGCTGTGGAGGGTGCGGGGATGTCTGGGAGGACTGAGAAGGAGCCTGGATAACTGGCAGCTGGGAGATGGGCACAGTTTCTAAGTATGAGAAGAAAGACCCATCTGCACTTTCTACCTGGGTCCTATAGGAGTTTAGAGGAATTTGTGTGGTTAGAGGTCCTTTGGGTTGGCCATTCAGGCCTATCTGAGGTACATCTGCACAAGCTTCTTGGACCGTTATACCTGTAGAGCCTCTGATCCTGCCATTCTGGACAGGAATCACAGGAAGGACTACTGGAATATGTGGCTGCAGGACAAAACCCTTCTGTACAGGGGAAGTAACTGTCAGAGAAGAAGACAACTGAGGCGAGTATGAGAGAGAGGACCGTCTGACGAGCTGGCGAGGGGTCAATGGAAAATGGGAAGGTGGGGCAGGGGGCGGAGACAATGAGATTTGCTTGATGCTTTGCGTGACAGTCCTGTGGCTCGGCAGGACTGGGGAGGAGCCCGAGGACGGCAAGAGCTCGGAGGCAGAATGTCTGTGGTGAAGCTGCGGGGAGTCTCTGGCTCTGGCAGAGGATCTGAAAGAGGTTTTATTACTGGGCTTGGGGGCAGCAGATGTTGAAGAGATAGCTCTGGCGTAAGACGGTGGTGGAGGGGCTGGGCCAGCTGAAGTAGGTGCGCTGCAGTTACTGTAGTCGGGAGGAGGAGACTGGCAGTGGGAGGGGGAAGAACACACTTTTATCTGAAGTGTGGAAACTAAAAGAACAGAAAAGAAACATGAAAAGAACAACATGGGTATACAGAAAGGCACAGCTGCAAGGAGAACATGGAAATAAAGAGCAAATGAAGCAGAAACTTAGAAAAAAACAAACAAACAAACAAAGAGGATGGTGCACACACTGATTTTGGTGATGCCCTGATATCCCCAGAAATTGAGAGCTGTTCCTTCCTTTAGTGCAAACCAGTGGGAAATACACATCATGCGCCAGAGTTCCTGCTTTGAAGTTTGTGAAGCTGTTTCTAATCCTACTCCTCACCCTGAGTCAGATTTACACATTACCTTTGTTCCAAAGACAACAGCAAGTGACATTTTGAACACAGACGGGTAAAAAGGTTGTGTACAGCAGCGATGCCTCCGTGAATGCTGTGGTTTGCTCAGCTAGAAATTCCAGTGGCTGGGTCCCACTGAAAGGCTGGTTTGCTCAGCTAGAAATTCCAGTGGCTGGGGCCCACTGAAAGACACCTTGCAAATCAGAGCCAGGGACTAGTCTGTGTTAAGTGATATGGTACATAGTACACATCTACCATGCTCCCAAACACTGGGAGTCAAGTGTTGCCCCTCTCTCACTGCATTGGCTCTTTGTGCACGTAATTTAGCTGATTGAAAATTAAAAAACACTGGGCAAAAATAAAAAACCTCCTGCCAGATTTACACAAAGTCCTGACCTTTGTGCGTTTTTTTCATGGATGTAAAAGCTACATTTTGCAGCCATAAAACTCTCTCTCTGACTCTTACCAAGTTGTTAATATTTAGAAAATATTTTTAAAGCTCATTCAATATTTTGCTAGTAACTGTACAGAAAAATTACTCTATTTACTTCCTGGAAACCCCAGGCTTACGGCAAACTTTCAAACTGGGGTTCCCTTCTGGGCTTTGGTCACTTGGTGTCACACCCTTGATGTGAAGGACCCCATAGCCAGCCACAGGCATCCCCCCTCTATGTGAATATATAGAGAGGGTGACCAGGCTTTATCAGTACCTTAGAGGCCTATTAGCCCTGGGCACTAGTGGCAAAGCCCAATTTAGTGCACAGGATAATGGAAGAGTGCAAAGCTTCAATCTAATTTGCCTTTGTTGCACTTTGTGCTCCAAAGATCTGGGCCGTAAACATTAATGAAGGCAGTGGAATCAATGCAGCCATGTCCCAAGTTATTAAGTTTCTAACCAAAAATGTTTTGAAGTCCTAAAGCCCTTATTGCAATATTGAGCATGCTGGGTACTTCAGTAACAACACATGGGCACCACCAGCAGCCAGAGGAATGCATCTGTGTTGCTTACAGATTCTTGATACATACCTGTGGTAGAGGTTCTTCTTTCCAGAGACTCCTGGCGTTGCTGCTGCTGCTGCTGCTGCTCCATCACTTGCCTAAAACAAGGGTTTTTAAAATAATCTTGATTTATGTGTTACACTTTGGGGTAAACGCTCTATATGCTGAGATGGGCTCACCTCATAAATCTGAGAGTCATTTGGTTCAGTCCATTATAGACATAATGGCCAGACCAAAATGGGCCAGTTCTGATATCATTTGCTAGCATATAGTTCCCTGGCTCTGAAAGCATTACTCCTGATTTATAACAGTGGAAGTGAAATCAGAAGAGAGCCTTGCACTTGTGGGGTACTAAAAACGCCTGCTACAGAAGCATGTTTCTTCGTGCAGGATAATTCTATAACAATATGAGGATTAGCAGTGAACTTAAAGCAGGAGAGCGCTGCGGTGTCTCAGCCAGCACTGCACTGAAGCATGTGATCAAGCATATGAGGAGTTCCAAAGACAGATGGACATCTGATGAGCTTAAAGTGAAGCACATCCCTTAGTGACATGTGGATCTGGATCCAAAGGACCGTCAGTACTAACAACAGGTTAATGAAATACAGTCGGTATTTAGCAGCTACCTCTAAATCACTCACTGCTTTAGATAGCTAAATAGCAAGCTCCTTTGTTGTCACCACAGAGCTCCACAGGTAAGCAAAGTCTGGGATGCCCAGTTAAAAGAAGGAACATATAACACTACAAACTGCAGCCCAACTGCACCTGTGGAAACCCACTGAGGTCAACAGCTAAGTACAGACACTCAAAAAGCCCAACACTGAATTGATTCAATCTTCACAGTTTAGGCTAAGCAGTGTAGATTGAACTGATAAGCAAGTGAACAGACATTCACTTTTGATTCCGGAAATGTAGCCACATGCCTGCAGCGGCCCAGGCCAGAAGTCCGGGGATGCTAGAGCACATCTCCCTGCTCAGCTGGAGCAGACAGCTTGGGCCAAGCCTAGCCCACCCACCCTGCAAGGTGGGGTGAGGTATGTGTGCAGGGGAGGTGCAAAGCATCCTAGGAGACAGGGGGTCTGTGAGTTAACATGAATCAATGACCTGGAAGATGGCACAGAATGCACCCTCAGCAAGTTTGCAAATGATACCAAGCCAGGGCGGAGTAGAAGATATACTGGAGAGTAGGGTGATCGAGACAAATTGGAGGATTGGGCCAAAAGGAATCTTTGAATCCATGAAGTTCAATAAGGAGAAATGCAAAATCCTGGAATTAGGATGGAACATGCCCATGCAGCAGTACTGGTTGGGCAGCAGTTCTGCAGAAAAGGACCTGGGGGTTACAGTGGACAGTAAGCTGAATATGAGCCAGCAGTGTGCCCTTGTTGCCAAGAGGGCTAATGGCATACTGGGCTGCACTGGTAGATGTGTTGCCAGTAGGTCAAGGGAAGTGATTATTCCCCTCTATTCAGCACTGGTGAGACCACATCTGGAGTACTGTGTTCAGTTTTGGGTCCCCCACTACAGAAAGGATGTGGATACATTGGGGAAAACCCAGCAAAGGGCAACAAAAATGGTGAGGTGGCTGGGGGACATGACTTATGAGGAAAGAATGAGGGAACTGGGTTTATTTAGTTTACAGAAGAGAAGACTGATGGAGTGATTTAATAGCAGGCTTCAACTACCTGAAAGGGGATTTGAAAGAGGATGGAACTAGACTGTTCTCAGTAGTGGCAGATGGCAGAACAAGGAGCAAGAGTCTCAAATTGCACCAAGGAAAATTTAAGTAGATATTAGGAAGAAATTTCTCGCTAGGAGGGTAGTAAAACACTGGAACAGGCTACCCAGAGAGGTGGTGGAAGTTCCATCCTTGGAGGTTTTCAAAACCTGGCTAGACAAAGCTTTGGCTGGGATGATCTAGTTCGGGATGGTCCTGCTTTGAAGGGTTGGACTAGATGACCTCCTCAGGTCCCTTCCAATCCTAACTTTCTATGATTCTATGAATCTGGAGGGAATCTAGGACAGAAGTTCAATAAACCGATTTAACCTAAATCAGTTCAGTCTGATACTATAGTACATCCATCCAAGTTTAACTAAAACCAGTTTTGGCCCTTTTTGAAAGTGGTCTGTGCGCTGAACTTCTGTTGTGTTACAGATCTGAATTGGTTTCTTATCACTTATACCAGTTTCTGTCCCTAGCCTAGAAGTCCAATATTTGAGGGTTGTCTCAATAATCAGTGATCACAAAATTACTCTGCTGAATTTCTAGTAACCTCATGATTATAAACAAGCTGTCGATCTCAGTACTGTGACAGGCAAAGTTTTAAGCTCATGGTAGGAATGAGACGTTACATAATTACTATTAAAACCGTGATTATGGTGAGTAGCAAAAAGCATTTAAAAAGTTGCCACATTTCTGAGAGTAGCAGTTCCCCAAATTTCCCACTAGAGGTCTTCTCTTTCACACTTTAACCATCTTGAAAACAAGGAATTTTTTTTACTGTAACTGTGATAACTCTTACTTGATATTTCTGTGCTCAGTTCAAACAATGAACAGGTAAAAACAGCTAGTTGTTTCACTATATACATGGACAGGAACTACACACTGCAAGAGCGTATAGATGTGACTCAGAAATTCCATAAATAAGTTAATTAACTCAAAAAAATGTTAATTTGCTAAGCCAAGCACCCAAAGATTAGGACATTACAGAACCAATGTTGCCTGTACAACCTTAATTTGTTCCCTTCGGGCAAATGCACTATAACAACATCTCGAAGCATGTAATGGTATACTATTTTTTCTACAAGACCTCTGCCTCATTCTTTTCACAGTAGGATAACCTGGATCATAGATGATTGGCCTATAACAAATCAATATGCCATGGAAAGCTTTATATGGGCCGTCCTGTTACATTTTATATTATTTCTAATTTTTTTGATTTAATGTGGAATTTACAATTTTTAAGCAGAAATACCTGGAGAATTTCTGTTTGGGTATGTAAAATAAGGTTAAGTCTTTTAATTTTTCTAACAAACCATACTACATTTTGGGTTCCAAATCAATAGAAGAGACAGACATAACCATAATTAGGATTATTTCTTATCCAGGGATAAATCCTAAACCAAATTCATAATAGAAAATTGGCATGCAACTCCTACACACGAAAATCACGGAGTACAGTACTCAATGGTGCAATTTTGGGAAAACCATTAAATGCATATGGAAAAAATATTGTAGATTCACAGGAAAACAACCTAATGGCATTGCCTCACCTGGTTTAAATTGTCATACCACCACTGACTTCAAGGGAGCTCTCCTAATTTGTACCAGGTGAGGATCTATATCCCCTTCTTCATCTCTAATCTCCTGCTTTCATTTCCCAGTTACAAGCTGCTCAGCCTAGACAATTGCATCAGTTGTACAGATGAAGCCTCAGTTGTACAAATAAAACACAAAGCATTTTCGGTCACCTTGAATAGCTTGTTACAAGAAGGAGCCAGAAAAAGGAAGAGAGGGACATGCATTTTCATGGATATTTTTCTCTCTAAAGTATAGAGCAAATTCTATTCATGTTTCTGGGCAGATCTCATTCTTCAAGACAGGCTGCAAAGAGTTTGCCCTGCTATGGTTGGACCCTGGCCAATGCTGCACACCCCATTCATGTCACAGGGCCTGGGCTGAAACAAAAAAACACTAACAACAAGTTCCCAGCCCAGCTGTGCCAGCAAAGAAGTTTGGGACTGCTGGTGAACTGCAGGTGGACAGCACTCCCCAGGAGACAGGGACCCAATTTAGACACAGGAAGAGCTTGTGTATTAGGCTGGTGCCATCTGCCTTGGTTTGAAGGGCTCCTTCCCTCAGACACATACTTGAGTACAGCTTATACACACAAATAGTCACATTGGTTTGAAGAGAAGGACCTCATGAATGCTTTAAGGACAACTCCCAGAGTAAGGGACTCCTCAATATGAAGCGTATCTGAATGTGGCTTTCTCCACTTACAGAGAGGCTCCCCAGGGAGTAGGGGGCACATCTCTGTAAGCAGAGAAAGTTGGGGTTTCCTGCTTGCAGAGACACAACCCCCAGGGTCTCCAGGGTATGTCTCTATAAACAGGGAAAGACAGGGTTTTCCACTGCTATGTAGCAGAGATCCACTGTCAAATAGTGATGCAAATTAATCTCCCCTTTGTTGCAGCAACAATTCTTTTTTGTGTTGCAGCCACAAAGCTGTTAGGGTGGCACATGGCAATAAAAGGTAATATCTGTTCACACCCTGGGCCTTCTGGTAGGTTAGCAGGCTCAAAAATCTATCTTTAGCTTGCGAGTGAAGCCCTCTGGCTCCCTTTAACACTGATGTGGAAACCTCCTCTAAATCACAGATGAAGTAGGTAACAAGAGCATCCCAACCTGAAATCCTGTTGGCTGTCAATATGCAGCCATACGTATACGATGGAGGGAAGATAGAGGATGGGGAAGAGGAGAATAGTGGCATTAAAGGCAAGATGCACATGTAAGACATGACCTGATCTGGACAAGGCTCATATTGGGGTCTCCAACTCCAATTTATAGTTTTCATGTGATTATTATCCTGGGTCAGGGAAAGATACTAATACAAGGAACTGTACCCCATTAAGGACCAGGCACCAGAATCAATGGACCAAGTTATCACCTGGCCTATGCACTGCTGGTGGGATAGTCTCTATGAAACCTGATCTTCTGTCACTAACACCTGATTCCACACTGGATCATGTTAAGCCTCCTTAATAAGCTTTAGAAACCCCTGCTTAAATACTATGCAAACTGCTTTTAAACAGGTGTCCTCCTTATCTCTGGACATCAGTGCCTCCTAGTTCAGGGTTTCCACAGGATTTCAATTCTTTACCAGTCATCACCAGGGATCCTGGTTTTTCTCTGATAAAAAAATCCCCAATTTTCAGATTTAAAAAATGTAACCCAAAATCCACCTTTTTCCATGATTAAAATGAAACGCCACTAATACACTTTTATATATATATTAGTGGTGTTTCATTTTAATCACAGAAAAAGGTGGATTTTGGGTTACTGTTTTTAATGTGAAAATTGGGGATTTTTTTTTTTAAATCAGAGAAAACCAGGCTCCCTGGTCATCACTAACAACTATTACATAAAAGTCAGAATCATGGTAAAATTTAGCTGCATAAAATATGCAACATATTAAACATGAAAAACATGGTGTTTTAGTAGACACTTCCTTCTTTCTACACAAGGAACATCCATGCTATCAACTTGCAGAATGTAAAGCTAGAATGTAAAGCTACCTGAATTCACTAAACTTAAGTAGCAGCTTTTACCTTCTCTGCACTTCCATTTCATCTGGAGAGGGTCCATTCTGCACCTGGCGCTGGGTAGTTGGACCTGTGGAATACATAACAAAGGATAATTAGCTAAGCAAATACGATACAACATTGTGGTAGTTTCTGACAAAAGTGCTGTTCAGTCTCACTGAATTTATTTTATAACACATATACCATATAATGCAGAATATAATGCAAGCATCCTTTATCCGCTGTGTGTGCACGTGCATGACATTCTGAAGAATGTCCTAGTGGAGCTGACGACCATTCTACCAGGATACTATTCTGATTTCTGTGGAGCTGAAAACATTTTGGCATCCTTGCTGCACATACTCGGCTAGTTTTTACATGAGCAACTTCTACACTAGCTTCCCATATGTAGATGAGTAATACAGATCCCAGGATGCGATGGCACAGCTTGGATCAAAGGAGAACTTTGCCCTAAGAGGACTGCCAAGGCGCAGATGAAAGAACTGCTCAATGTCACATTGCATTCCCCTTATCTGTATGATTCACAAGGCTGCCTCCCTCACATGTACCAGTTCATATATATGAGGACAAGGGTGGGAGATGATATAAATGCTGATGTAAATGCTACATCCATGAATTTGTGTGAATGAATACAAGTTGGTGCACCTTTGGCAGAGAGGTGGCAGAAGGGCACGGTTAGAACAGGAAAAAGCATTGTGGTGCTACAGAGAAGGTGTTAGATAAAGAAGGCTGGTTACAGTTTTGCTTTGCCTTCTACAATTCTGTCGGTCTCCTTTCTCAGACGGAGACACCCAGCTGAACACAACTTATGTCACCATCTAGGTCACGTCTGCATTTGGCTCTAGAATCTGCTTCTGTTCTTGGTCATTTTTATTATATTCATTAGTGGTTAAATGTTAGTTTCTGAGAGAAGTGACGCTCAATAATAAACTATTTGCCCACTGAAGTCAACAGAAACTTTGCCACTGAATTCAGTGGGAACAGAATTTCATGAAGCCTTTTGGTGTTTTAGACCAATTTCTTTATAATTCTATTGGTTTTACCCCTATTAAAGTCTATACACACCAATAGCTCACAACTTGCCAGAGAGAGAAATTTGGCCACTTGGAAACTGTTCACTGACTGTGGGTACCCAAAAGGGACTTTATTTCCAGGGAATACTTAATACTTGCTGCAAATAATGCTTTTGGCAATGTCTGAAACTGCCCAAAATTAAGTCACGTATAGTCACTAGTCACTTTTGGAAGCTCTATCCAAAATTTTGCCTGATTAGAAATGTGCAAGGGAAGAGTGAGGCAGGGGAAGAAGTATAACACATTTCCAACAGGATAAAATTCTGATTCGTTGCACCCATCACCGATCTAGTACTGACTGCTGCTTGCCAATTGGCCAACACAGTTTAGGGGGAAATGTCTTTGGTAGGGAACAAAAAAAAAAAAGCAATGTGACAAGGAAGTCTGTGGTCTCACTGAAAGCTGCTCAGCTATTCTGTATGTTAGAAATAGTCTTGATGGTGACAGCTGAGAAGTTAGACTGCAGATGACATGTGAAAGGCACAAGATAACTGCACACTATCATATGGCAACGTTACCTATCATCATCGCTGATGTGCTGTAACTGTTAAGAGATGCAGCTGAGCAAAAAGCTGAATCTCAAAATCTCCAAAAGTTGTATATGAGATGAAAGAACCATCCTCGAAGTCTAGAGTAAGACCCAAACATCCCCATATTTCAGGGAAGCATGTGGTTTGGATTCATGATTTGTGTGTGAAGCATCTACGCTACACAAATTCTTTTTATAGCTACACGTGCCAAGTATGTCATTAAACATTTATGCAGCTACGGACACTCTTGGGGTTACAGCTAGACTTTTGAAGGCCCTTGCATCTCCCTCCTCAAACAGGGCCCCATCTTGGCAAGTTCTGGCAATACCCACCCCCTCCACATACCTCTGCCACCCACACACTGTCCACAGCCCCCCTCAGACAATCCCCAATACCTGGCTCTCCAAACCCCACTCCCCATAGATTTACCTGTATCCAGTTACCAGGGCTGCTCCCACCACCCTGCCTGGATGTATGCTGGTGATGTGCATGTGCGCATGTGCACAAACGTGGCACCCCTGCCTCCAAACACCCTCCCCCTGCTCTCTCCAGCCCCAAGCATCATCTTGAAGGCTAGAAGGCTGCCAGCCTGCCAAGGGAAACCCACAGTTTCCCCGCCATTTACTCCTTTACAGAGGAAAATCTGCATTTTTCTCCTTTAAAGGAGAAAACGTGTTTTCCTCCTTCAAATGTCAAAATCCACATTTTTCCACAGCAAATGAAAGACCCCCAGATCCCTGTTAATCTGCTGCATTAACAAGATACCTCTCTGGAGGCTAAATACCCAGAAAAACTGTATAACAACCACCTTGTCCACGTTTTGCCATGCAGAAGAAACCTAGGAGCAGACCTTATAAAAATACACACAAAAGTCAGACTCTTCTGTCTTCTCTCTACTACCCTGCCCTGGCGAAAGTTTAAAAAAAAGTTGTGAACAGTTTGTGCAAAGCAGGCTGCAGAAGTCTCTCTAGAATAAGCACAGAGGGGAGATCGGGATGTAATTCTCTGTCATCTGGAAAACTATTAAACTGATTGCACTTGCATATCAAATAGTTAGATGCATAAGCACATGATCCTGCAAAGATACCCATGCTTATTTTTCAATATGCAAAGACTCCCATTTAAGTCAGTTGTATAAGTTTGTTCTTACACACACACACATGTGTCAGCAGGGCTGGGGCCACTATATGTATTGCAGAGAACGGTGGCTGGAAAAAAGAGGCTGAATTTTAAAAGTCTGTCCCTTTCTCTCAAAAAAATCAAACCATGTAGCTCCCAGGCAGGCTATGGGCCCTTTTAGCCCAAAACAGTTTCAGGTCAGTTCTGTCAACATAATTTGAAACTCTTTTTTGTTTAATCACAACAGTATAACCTGATTACACCACCTTTGTATGATCTCACTACCTCAGCTCTGTATATTAATAACTCCTTACATTATTTTTTTAAATATGCCATAGTCTCTTATTTAAGAACCTAATTAAAAAATAATTAGCAACTTTTAATGTGTTCAAAGTGTGAAATGTACTTAAAATTAGGCACATTTCACACCTCATTTAAAACCTTATTTAAGGTGTTGAAATGGAAAACTTCTTTACAACTTCTTGAGAAACACTCCACAGACAGACAGACAGACAGGAAGTTTAAGTATAGCCAGTCAAAACGCCTGAGGCTGAATCAATTAAATTACTGCAGATTTGTCTAACCTGTATAGATTGAACAAAGAACCAAGTGAACAGACATTCACTTTTTATTCCGGAAATGCAGCCACATACCTGCAGTGACCCAGGCCAGAAGCTGGGGGGAGTGCTAGAGAACCGCTCACGGACTGCTGGCCACTTCCCGCTCCCCAACTCGAGCAGAAATTGTGGGGGTGGGGAGGGCATGCTGGGGAGGGGATTAAACACCCTCCCCGGCCTGCATGGGACCCCAGCTGGGGTCTGTGTTGGGGAGGGGAGGGAGAAGCCAGCTCCTGCCAGGCTTTTCCTCCTTCCCCCACTCGAGTGGAGAGCAGGACACATGGCCAAGGCCCCGGGCTGGGGCTGGCACACTAAGGCAGGGGGGCAGGGGCAGGGAGGGGTTTAACCTCCCCCCCTACCCCCATCCCAGGCCAGGTCCTGGCTACATCCCCCTGCTTTCTGCTTGAATGGGGAACAGGAAGAAGACTGGCAGGGCAGGCCTGGGCCTGGCCATGCCCCCCACTATTTCCTCCAGGAGGAGGAAAAGCCTGCGAGGGGCTGCTCCCCACCCTACAGGCAGACCCCAGCTGGGGTACAGATTCAGCCCCACCCCCCAGGCTACCTCGCTCCCTCCCTCCCTCCGTCAGCCAGCTGTAGCAGTGATAGTGCTCTGACTAGGTAGCAGAGAGATGGGGCCAACCCGGCTCTGCTGGAGCAGACAACACAGCCCAGCCCAGCCCAGGGCTGCAAAGCAACCTGGGATGCTGGGGGACTGTGAGTTAACTTGAACAAGGAAGGGACCAGGGCAAAAGTTCCATAAACTGGTTTGACCTAAACCAGTTAAGTCAAGTCTGATACTACATCCAAACAGGTTTATCCAGTGACGATGCATAGGGGGTGTACCCCCTGACCAGCCGCGTTCACCTCTTAGGCGATGGGCAGGCAGGAACACCAGTGCCCCCCCACTTGCAAGTGCAGGTCAGTCATTGCAGCTGCTTCTAGGAGCAGCCACAGTCACTCCTGAAAGCGGCTGCAGCGATCAGCAGGTTGGCAGGATCGGCCAAGGGGGACACCCCCATCCCCCAATCGGCGGGGGTGGGTTTGGGGGGGGGGGGGGGCCCCCAATCGGCGGGACGGGTTTGGGGGGGGGGGGGCACGTGCCCCCCTGACTAAGGCAGCACCAGTTGCCCATGGGTTTATCTTAAACCAGCTTCAGCCGTTTTGAAAGTGGTTTAAATGCAATGAACTTCCATCGTGTAACAGATTTGAACCAGTTTCTGATTACTTAAACTGGTTTGTGTGTTACTTCTGTCCTTAGCTGAAGACAGAATGAATCAGATTGGAGGGAGTTATTCAGGGCTTAAATAAGCCAACCTGTCCTGTTCACATACACATAAACAAAACCTATTTATAGAAGTGGTGCAGAATACATATGCATTTCCATCTGTACATTCATTTAAAGGGTCATTCAGATGCATTGTTGGAAATACATTGTTGCATAGCTCACAAAGCTCCCTAGTTCTTTGTTGAATGTCAGGAGATGTACGACAATTACTGTTGTACGTATAAGACTGAAATGAGTCTCCAGATGGTGAGAGTTCCTAAATCACCATACTGAAACAGAAAATATAACAATCTGCAGAGACTGAAAGCTCATCCATTGCTTTAAATCTTTTCCAAAGAAAGCCTTTCTTCCTTCTGCTGTTATTTTGCTTCTGCACAAATATTCTATTTGATGCAATTTTTGCCTAAAATTGTTCTAGATCTAAGTATGTTTGCTATTATTGAATC